ATCAGTAGGTAAGGTATGTTGCGTAATACATGTCCTTAAAGGTACTTGGACACAGATTTGAAGTTATTATTTTCTCTATAATATTACGACTTATATATTTTAATAGTATTTCACACAAAAATTAATTAAAAATCTTATTTCCTTTAAAAGATATTGAAATTTCAAATTTTTCGGCGGGTTTGATTGACACATCCTTGCACTCTCACAAATTTAATTTTATTCTTAATCCTTACAAAAAGTGGCAATCTCGTTTTGTATAAATGAAAAATATTAATACTATAATCAAGAAAATTCAGAGTAGACACGTTCGAAAGCAAAACAAACACACAATATATTGTCAGTCCGTGCAGTTGTGGTAAGCAGACTGTGACGATTGAACGCACCCGGTGAATTCTAAATATAAACAATAACAGAACTCGAGCCCTGTTTACAAAAACTGTGTACATAACACGAGTGTGCTCGATTTGCTAAACTCTGTACGCATCTCTTAGTTCGGAATGACGATACTTGTGAAGGTGTTTTGCTTTCTAACATTTCTACTTTGAATAAAATTATTTTTCTTGGTAAAAGTTTTAATATTTCACATTAAAACACATAGAAATTGCTACTTTTTCAAAGGATTAAGAATAATGTTAAAATTTGTGAAAGTGCAAGGATGTGTCAATCAAACCCGCCAAAAAATTTATGGTTTTAATAACTTTTAAATGAAATAAGATTTTTAATTAATTTTTGTGTGAAATGCTATTAAAATATATAATTCGTGATATTATACAGAAAAAATGAGAAAATGTTAACTTCAAATCTGTGTCCAAGTACCTTTAAGTTTATTCCATTATGACTCTTTTTTTAGAGTTCAGTATTGGCTCTGCTCATATATTGTATTGTTTTACTCGATTTTAACTATTATTGCAATATTTTCTGCACATTTTTATCCCACTTCTATGCTTAGTATTAGTTATAAATTAAAGGTGAAATAATATTCATTTTTCTCAAAATACATCGTCAACATAACAGTAAACCAACTTTACCTTCTTTTAAATACTTGTTTTTCAATGATCTGTACTTATTTTGATAACCTTATCTAATGCCCGCCATACACGTATAAAAAGGAAGTATTTAAACAAAATGGGTAGAACAGGGCACATTTCACGGTCTTTTATTACCTGTGTTTTTTCATTTTCTCTTTTAATTTCTTCGTTGAATTTGGGTAAGTACATTATTTGAAGTTTGCATTCAATTATAATATTATACTTGGTTTGTCATATCTTATGAAGTTTCTAATTTAGGTGAAAAGTTCAATGTTATTACGCTCCATTTCTGCCAACCATTTAATGTATTCGTTTACTGAAGTACACGTTATGGTTATGCCTTTGTATTTTTCTTAATATTTTTAAATTCAAGTTGAGGAATGACAGAATTTAATAGTTTAAAGCTAAATCGGAAGATAAGTCGAAGTTTTTTAATAAAATTTATGTTTTTTGTTCTTTTTATTTATTTTACGTCTGTTGAAGAATTTTTCACTCATATTCAGACACTGCCACTTGGTGGTGGATTGATGTACTAAGCATTCACAGCATTTGGACTGTGCAACTTAAGAGTAAATGTCTTATCCACTGTGCCAAGCTGATAAACGATATGTATTTATTTATTTTGTATTTAAAGATTCTCTTTTGTTGGAATGCATTGCTTGTTTATTCACACTTCATAGACTTTAAACATCAGAAAATTTTTTGCAATCTTACAAGGAAATTCTGTATAATTTTCTTGAAAACGCTTGTATTTCTTTAACCAAATTTAAATAATTTAAAAGTAAATAAAACTAAAAAAAAAATGGGCTTGAATTCAGAACAATCCAGAATATTTTTTTTAATTTAAAGTATATTAATCATGTTAATTATATGATGACATATATGTTGCTGATCTTAACGGCGACGTTTTTAGAAACTTATTTCTTGAACTATTAAAACATTTTGTGACTACTTTAATTGAAAAATTTTTGTTGCACTTTTAAAAAGTAAGATTTATACTTTATTCATATTCAGGGAAAGATATACTTGTTTTGTGTTTTAATGAAACATTTTTAATTTATATTCAAAAGGGTTCATAAGGAAACAAAAAACTAGACCAACTCACTAGTATACGATCATTACTATTTTAATTAAATTTCAATCAAGTAAATAACTATTTTGAATTGTAATGCACTAAAAAATTCGAAAAATTCAAACAATAACCATTAGGTCAGTTACACATAAGGAACATCGAAGACCTCGAGGTACAAATTCTTGCAAAGCAAAAATAATCATTTACATGAAAAAAAAAAAAATTAAGTTACATGTATACTTTAAGTATTCATTAAATCGTTTAGATTCTATATCAAGACTAAAACATAAATTAAGTAAAGAAAAATAAAATTTAAAAACAATCTTTTAAAGGCCGGCTCATTCAAGACTTGTTGGTAACTAAATGTTTAACTCTAAAAATAATGTAATAAATCGTTAACATTACCAACCCACAATAAAAATGACGACGAAGAGATGAAATTGTAAAAAAAAAAAAGAAAAAGAAAAATTAACTTTTAGGGCCGGAGGGTAAAATGTTGGGTAGATATGGTGACAGGAAACAAGAGCGTGTTTTTTCTGCCTATACATAACTTATAATACCCATACTGTCATAAAATGATAATTATTGTAACGTCTATACCAATTAGTATAGTTTTTTCGTACAGTTTAGAATTTCAGTTTAATATATTTGAAATGCTTTTTGAGAAAGAAAGATTCTTAGATGATGATTGCGTCTTTGGATTAATTTCATGTTTTCTTTTCAGTATCATCGCAAAACATGCAGATTCAGGCTCTTCCACAGATAGTAGACATGGGAGAGGATACACTGACTATAGTCTGCTCCTTAAGCAATCCATCACAAGTCAAGTCGCTGTATTTTATAGAACTGCAGAGGAACACTTCCGTCTCTTTTGAAAGATTGATTGATCGTACTTTAAATACAGATAATTTTCAAGAAGAGACAATATATACAGATTTAACATTACAAGGCAGGACAACAGCAACAGGGTCTCTTAAACCTCCTTCTACAGCAGAACTTAGATTAACTTTTACAAAAAACAACGTGAAGTGTCCGGAGGATTTCAAAGAATACAGGTGTAAAATGAGTGGATTGGATAGTAATTCGAATTCAATTCCTGAACAAGACGCTGTATCAAATCCAGTAAAAATTTCTTATAGAGGTATGTAAACGGGCAGAAACGAGTCGTTTTATGCATGACTTTGTGTTAAATGTATGTAAGAGAGACAAGAAATGACTTACCTGAATCATCATCAGCATCAGTAATTGAGCTCCATCAAAACTTATTTTCTTTACAAATGTAAAATTAACTGGTAAATGGTTATATCTTTTTTCACTTTTTCTTTTTTATCAAAGTCAATCTACAATCAGTAATATGGCAGAATAATAATAACACAATAATACAAATTAATGCTGATCAACTGATGCATTTTATCTTTTGCAAGTAGTACATAATTATGTAGATGCTCTGTTACAACGCACTTTGAAAAATTACGCACTTTGAAAAAAATTTTCAAAGTGCGTTAAGTTTTGGGACCAGGTTAACGCACTTTGAAAAAAATTTTCAAAGTGCGTTGAATTTGGGACCAAATCAACGCACTTTGAAAAAATTTTTCAAAGTGCGTTAAAACTGTACATCATAATTTTACACCATGTACACATTTAACGCACTTTGAAAAAATTTTCATGAAACAAAAGGAATTAGACTTATATTTTTGAAATAGACAAAAGTATTATCCCCTCGCAACGTATGATGGCATATAGTGATGCAATTATGTGTGTTATTACTTTATGTGTATATTAGTTTTTTCTGTGTGAAATTTACGTAATTTGTATCGGGATCGATGTCAAATGATTTACTGAACATGCTTTTTTGGGAAGGAATGCTCCGCTTTGCAGTGCCCTTACTTTGATATGTTTCTTTCTAAAAACTGATGGATTGAAGAAAACCAAGAAACGGAAAACGAAGAAAAGACTGGCTGATTTTAGGTCTATCAGCTCAACTCTTTATCATTCCCACCCAGATATATCTATTTCTATAAATCGTTACCTTAAGTGTCAATGATATTTGAAAAAAAGAGCATTCTAAACACAGTATAAGCACTGAACAAGGAAGTCTGTAGTAAATCGAAATTTTGTTCTCTTAAATCTAAAAATCAGAATATTAATTACTACTTGTTAATTCCTTATTTTTCGAGAGTGTTTTTTTTTTTTATCGCGAACTGGCTCTCAAACGGCAAATCGCTAGATTTATTATTCGCGAATGAACGGTTAATGAACAGATTTTACATAGATTTAAGCATCAGAAAAATAAAAGTGAGTCATATTCTTTTCGCGAGTGATGCTTCTTGCGAAATAACGCAGAATATTAAGGAATCTACAGTACCTGTCTGCTTTTCGTTGTTAATTTGACACCATATCTGATAATCTCTCTGTTAAACTCCAGGTTTTTAAAAACACAAGTTTTGCCAAAATTATAGAGTTATTTCTCTTTGGTATTCCAAATAAGTAAGGTTTTATGAAAATTCACATAAATATCTATAAATCTTTTTAGAATCATTCCAATATGTTAACTTTTGAGAATTGACTAAGAGATGGGCGGAACATCAATACTATCGTTCGTAGTTCTTTACGACATTGAATGTTGACCTTTTGACCCCAAATTCAAAAGGGGTCTTCCTAAGGCCACAGGGATTCTGTTATGTTAAATTTCATTGCAAATGTTCAAAGGTTGGCGAGGTATCGTGTGGAAACGAAAGCGTTACAGAAAGACGGATGGACGGACAGCTAGACGGACGGACTGACAGATAGACCCAAATTGATATCTCCCACTTTTCAAGCGGGGGACAAAAAGTATCAAATAGGTTCAAATGATAATTTATCATACGTAAGATTTGTAGGAATATTGACTAAGACATGCAGAATTTTTTTTTCAAAGTGCGTTTATATGGTCGATATTAACGCACTTTGAAAAAAAAAATATTTTTTCAAAGTGCGTTAACCTTGCCCCAAAATTTAACGCACTTTGAAAAAAAATTTCAAAGTGCGTAATTTTTTCAAAGTGCGTTGCCACAATGCTCTTCGTATATTATAGTTCAGCCGAAACTGATCGAGAGGCCCAGTGTGAGGATACTTGGACAACAGTTTGACACAAATGAAAGGCAGTTTGAAGTAGGAGCAGCTTTACAGTTAACTTGTACAGGACAGATAGGCAGTGATCCTAGTGCGGTAAGTCTTTAAAAGGTTAAATGCTCAAATTGTCTGTCAATATATATGCAATATTTAAAAAAATGTTTTCCGTTTTCAAACTTCAGAAATGAAAAAAAATTTATTAGCAAAAACTATTCTAAGACAGTTTCTTTAGAAATATACCAAAAAACCTTTTATTTCTACAGCTAGAAAAAGGCAGAAAATTGTCTGAAAATTGAATTATGCCAATCTATATGAAAAAAAGTATTTGTTCAAAGATTTCAGCAGAAAATGAAATAATTAAGACATGTATAAATCAAATAAATTTCTTGATTAAGTTAATTTAAGATTGTTTCTTTTAACAACAGTTTCAGAAAAGTGTGAACCTGTCAATTTTATTTTAAAAGAAATGCTAAAAAAATGAATTTCAATGTGGCACTAAGAAAGAAGAAAAATGTATTCGAGTGGATCCCATCTCTAATTCAATACTCGAACAGACCTTTTGAAATTTTTCACGGTGGGATATGAAGATAGCGAACAGTATTCAATCTCAAAATCCATAAATTTTATTTTCTACCAAAACTAATTTGTAACCATATCTATTAGTAGTTTCTTTTAGTCGTCTTTATATAAGTAGGAAATACCACTTTAAACAGAAAAAAATCAAATTATATTGAAAAAGTCATTGGATTATTTACAGATTCGTAATGCTATATTTGTATAGCTTTAAAAGAAATGCAGGTTTTATGCAGAGAAACAGTAATTAGCACATAATAAATACTGTTTCTGTTGATTTAATTTGATTGTTTGTTTAAAATTTGCCTCCTCTCTTTGTATGATTTCTAGACGATACGTTGGTGTGCTAAGACTGCTGGAGCACAATCCTTCACAGGGCTACCACAGACACCACTCCCGGTCCTCACCATCTGGCTGTCAGTTCACCTGTTCTAGTACTATCACCTACAACCTTACACGCAGTGACACCTATACACTGTGTGAATATGGATACTCTGGTCTCTGTGGAACAGGAACAGCCAGACAGTATGTTAACATAACCTTAGGTAAGGGATGAGGTCAAAACTGGAATATTCAGATAGTGTCTTAACATTACCTCAGACAGTGTCTTAACATGACCTCAGGTAAAGGGATTAAGGGAGAGGTCAAAAGCTCAAAAGGCGTATTCTAACTACAATAGATTTTCTGCATTTCTATTTTATTTCAATCAGTAAAATCATTTGAAAGGGCACAAGCCATTGATAAAACTTGATTATTATCATATTGTCACAGAACTTTAACCTTGCCGATAATTTTTGAACAGTTACACCTTCTTTTACCAAAAATATCACACTTAAACCTTGGCCATTTCTTTTGAAAAGTCGGAGATAGAATTTTCGTACCTGACATGTGAATTCATTTTAACACAAACTTTCAGTTGGTATAAATATTTTTGACCTTCGACCTTCACCTTAGAGACTGACCCATTTAATAAACAAATCTTTAACCTTGCCGACATTTTTGAACAGTTAGGACTTGGGCTTTCATATTTAAGAGGTATATTTCTCGTGACAATGCCTTCTTTTTTGGTATCAACAATTTTTATCTTTGACCTCGACCTTTGGAGTTTGACATGTATTTGAGAAAATTCAACTCTTGACATCCGGATTATTAGTGTTTCACAAACACATCTTGTTAATATAAAAAAAAAATTGTGTTCTTTTCAATATCAGATTTACCAAGACTTTGTAAATCACAGTTTCTATCTTATTGTAAAAGTATCGCTTAAAACACCATCACTACCTTACTTTAAAGAGATATATGCTCATCCTTTGAATCATTTATGTCCTGCTTTTTTATTTAATTATGCCATGAGAAATTGTATCCAATACATTATATCGTTATCCCGTTTAATCTTCAATCCAAAGTATCCACATACGTATATAATAAATCTGAATTGGTCATTGAACTGGGACAATATATCGTCAATAGCCGTCATACTATATCTACGATAAACGAAAATTCAAATGATAATGCTGACTTATAAAATTTAGCTTCTAATTACTTTATTTCAAAGTAAAAACTACCTAACTTATGTGCTTATAATAAGCAATAAAAGGAAAAGTGATATTGGGAGATGATTTGAATCTACAGCACCGACCGACTTATGAATTCATAGATGTATTTGTGTTTATTTCACAGGAAGTCCAGGGTTACAGCAGAGTGAATCCAATGCTTGTTCTACAGGTTGTTAATACAAGATAAACACAGATGCAAAGTTTTCTAATCACATGATTCTAAATGATTTAAAGCCATAAATAGAAGCAATATTTAAAAGCATACACAAATGGGAATAAAGATAAAGCATGCGATTCCAGAGTTACCTGCTCTCTTTCCCGTACTTGGGTCAATCCCAACACTATTACTCCTCCTCTGTGTTTGACTTGTAATGTTCATCATAGTCCTAAAGCACGATATTAAAAATGGTAAGGATATATAATTCATAAAAAAATATTTATGAGAGCACAGAAAATTTATTGAGATATTTAACTTTAATTTAACTATTACATTTCTTTTGTTAGGCATGTGCTGTTTCCAGAGATCAGAGTTAGTAAGTATATATCAAACATTATATTTATAACATTATAATGGAATATGGATATAACTAACAGCATTCAAGCTCCATAGTCAATTCACAGAATACATCTTAGGTTACCAAACGTACCTCGAATATATCAGAGGTTGTACCAAGTGCCATGGAGGAGTGGGTATTCCTTACGGACAGGTCACACCTGCCGGGGATACTGACAAATCCAGACGATTTTATTTGTAAATAATGATCTAACAATTAGAATGAAATATATCAGTCGAAAATGACAGATTAATTGTATTTGCTGGCAAGGTCATTGTATCGGCCATTGAACTTGCAAACTGATGACTTTTAACAAAGCTCTTGATATTCTTGTCTCATCAACTTGTTTGTCAGTTACTTAAATCGAAACATGGAGATAACGAACAATATTCAAGATCAAAAGTCTATAAAACAATACAAAATAAGAGCAGAGCAAACACAGAACTCTAAAACGTCAGAGAGGGAAGCAGGTGCCTAGGAATTTATTCATACGTAAATTATGCTCTTTTGTATCGGGCTAGGAAATATAAACGCCATATGCAAGTGAAAATATTATATTGCAACATAAGTCAGGGGAGTTAACGATTAAAAAGTTAAAAGTATTTTCAATTTCAAAAGTTAATAAATAGATTGATATTTTATTAATAATTATTATATTATTCATTTATTTTATTTATTTGCTGTGTATTTATTTCGCTGTTTTCCGTTTTTTTTTTTATTAAATACTGTTTTGACTTTGTACCATTTGTTTAAAAAAAAAAGTCAGCAGGGGGTACTGGTGCATTTTGGAATATTTTAGTGTTTAAAACCAATACATTAATTGATTTCAGGTAGTTAGTAAATAAAAAAAAAACTAATTAACTGCATGAATTTTATCATTATAAAAACAAACTTTTTTATCTTTGAAATTGACGATACAAACAAATTAAATAACAATATACCTGAAAATTGGATTTGTTTGGTTTATTCTATACAAACCGATTTCCGATAAAAAAAATGTGTCAAAGTATTTTTGAAGCATAATAAATCTGCTTATAATTAAATTACTTCCAAGATGGATATCAAAATAATCGTCTCATAATGCACAATCTTTACCCGTCAAAAGCTTCCTGGATATTTTTATTTTGTTTTGATTGAGAAAAAAATCAGTTCTCATACAAAGAGAAAATGTTATTTCAAACAGCTACAAAATGTATACGGTCACTCTGAACACAACATAAACAAGGTATAGAGGTCAGTGAAAAATACAATAGGTGTCATGACTGTCTACCCCGAGTTAATTACTGGTACACATCAATGGCTTTGATGTTTTTACAGAACCGTGTTAGGGTTTTAAAAACTGATTTTTAATCAAATCAATGTATCAAAAATTTAATTGACAGATTAATATTGTACATAATGAGACGATTATATTGATATCCATCATGGACTTATAATAATAAAAAGTCGTTTTAGTATGCTAATAAAATACTTTGTAGCACATCTAAGGAAGCAACTGTTTATGTAAAATAAATCTAAAGCAACACAATTTCTTGCAGATATAAATGATTGATTATTTTTTTGTATTTTCAATTTCAAAAGTAAATAAATAGATTGATATTTTATTAATAATTTAATATTATTAATTTATTTTATTTTATTTATTTTACTATGTATTTATTTCGCTGTAATCTGTTTTATTCATTAAATATTGGTTTACTTCGCACAATTTGTTAAAAAAAGAGAGAGAGAGAGAGAGAGAGAGAGAGAGAGAGAGAGAGAGAGAGAGAGAGAGAGAGAGAGCACGGAGTACTGGTGCATTTTGGAATTATTAATTTTTTTTAATAAATGCAATAAGTTTTGTTTTGAACATATTTTCTTGAACGAGTCAAATGGATTGGAAACAAGTTCTTACAACTTACAAGTTCCTCTCCATAAATATAACAATATGTCATGCAAATAATACATTAAAATATGATAATTATAATATTTTCAAGTGATACAAGTTAATCATAAATTTAAAATGTACATGTTTCAGTAATTTAAAATTTAAAATCTACATGTTTCAGTAATAAATCTATGGACAGCAGCAAAAATATTAATATTAGTTGATATAGGCAAATCTCTATCACCCCATAATAGTAGGTTAGTGTCAATAGTTACCAATTCTTCTAGCATGAACAGGTGGTTAAAAAGATTGTTTCTAGCATTTGCATACTTTGTACAAGCAAAAAAATAATGATAAACATCTTCATACTTTCCACAAGAACAAAGAGGACTGTTGATAATATTGATCATAATTAAGTAAACAGTTGTGTCTTAGTTTAGTATGAAGTATGTTTGTGTAGCGTTTACCAAAAGAAAAATATGTTGGCGGATTGCTGATTTTTGTACATGCTCTTAAGTTTTTACGGAAGGAATTAATTGAGATGGCTTCTTTTGTATCTAATTTCAATAAATTCCATTGCTTCACGGCGTCTGGCACAAATGACTTTTTAAATAGTTCTAATCTACATCTTGGAATAATGTACTGTTCTTTATTGCGGGTATTGTATTTTGATACATTTTCATGCTTGTTTGGTACAATATTATTTAAATATTCAGGGACAGTCCCTTTATGTATTTTAAACATAGTAGACATTTGTGCAACATAACGCCTAAATTTTAAAGTTTCCCAACCAGTTTCTAAATAAAGTGTTTCAGTAGATGCAAAAATAGGAAGTCCGGTGACAATTCTAGCCGCAGCTAGTTGTACTTTTTCCAGCTTTTCAGAATCTTGTTCAGAGCACCCATCCCATACAACAGAAGCGTATTCGAGCATTGGTCTAATAAATGTAGTGTACAATTTTGAAAGGTTGTTTCTACTTAATTTAAACTTACGTTTTTTCAAAAGCCCAAGTTTTTTATAAGCATTATTTACAATACCGTCAATATATGCAGACCAGCTGAGATTCTGTGACAATAATAAACCCAAGTGTCTATGGACTGGGGCGCATTCTAGCCTGTCTCCTTTAAAAAATAATTTTGGCATAATAGAAATGGCCTTAGTGTTAAAGAAGACTACCTTTGTTTTAGATGGGTTAAATTTTAGAAGCCATTTATCTGACCATGATTCTAAAATGTGTAAATCGTGTGGTTTAACTTGTATTCAATGTCTAAAATATTGTATGAACATTGTTGAAGTGAATTATCATCAGCAAACAATCTACACATGGACATCATATTTTCAGCAACATCGTTTACATATATCAGAAATAAAAGTGGCCCCAATACAGAGCCCTGAGGTACACCTGCATATAAATCAAGTTTTGAAGAGAACAAATCCTTATACATTACTTTTTGTGACCTATGATTTAAATAACTAGAAAACCACTGTAGGATATCTCCGGATAAACCATAAGTTTGTAATTTAAAAATGAGACCCATGTGCCATACTCTGTCAAATGCTTTAGACAAATCACAAAAAACCATACAACATACTTTTCCTGCATCAATATTTTGTACAATACTATGATATGTTTCTAGTAATTGATACACAGTAGAATGTCCGGGTAAAAAACCGGCTTGATATTGATAAAACAGATTATTACCGTGAAAATAATTGTACACATGTTTAAAAATAATTCTTTCCATAATTTTACTAACACAGGATAACAGCGATACAGGTCTATAATTTGAAACAAAAGAGGGGTCATCCTTTTTAAAAAGAGGAATAACATGAGCTATTTTCCAGAAGGATGGAAATATTCTATCTGACAGGGACCTGTTGTATAACATAGTGAGTGGTTTAACAACAGACTGAAGAGTAGATTTTAACATTTTATGACTTATGCAGTCGGGACCTATAGCTTTGTTCACGGGAAGTATGGAAATAATGTCTGATACTTCATGTTCTTCAATTGATATTTTACAAAATGTGCTACTACATAGATTGTACATGTTTGGTAGTATTTCATTTGAATCATCAATAGTAGAAATAGATGAAAAATAAGAATTTAAGGCTTCAATTTTGTCTAAGTCAGAGTAAGCCAACTTTTTACCGCCTTTATCATTATGTATTTCAATAGGTGGTATCTCGTTAGATAGTTTAATGTTGAATGAATCCTTCATTAGTTTCCAATAAAGTTTATTATTATTTTTACTTGAGTCCTCTAAATATGTTTCAATATTGTTGTAATAATTAGCCATAGCATGTTTCTTCATATTGTTGACCGAATTCCGTACCTTTCTATATTCAGACCGATCAGATACTCTTTTAGTTTTATGTGCTTTTTTATGAAGACGGTCTCTAGTTCTAATTGTTTTCCTTGATAAAGAATCGAACCATGGTTTGTCACGGGGACGGATTGTAATTGTTTGTTCCGGTACGCATTCGCGAACACAAGTGAGATATTCAGATGTAAAATTTTCAGTGGCCAAATCTATGGTATCAGCTTCATTGATGATTTTATCCCAATTACAATTTTCTATCAAAGTATTTAATTTACCAAAGTCCGCATTTTTATAGGCCCACACTTTTCTTTTGTAAGAGCGGTTGTAATTTATATTAGAGAAAAGCGAAATAAAAGTAGCTCTATGATCACTTATAGATGATTCCATTACTAATGTACCCGATTCGCATACTTGAATATCAACAGAAGAAAAAATTGGGTCAAGCAGCGTGCTCGACGTGTTCGTAGTTCGTAAGGGTTAATGTACGAGTAGCGCTCCATTCCTTAAAAGTAATGGAGCCGAGGCCCCGAAGGGGCCGAGGCCCATTACTTTTAAGGAATGGAGCGCTACGAGTATATTAATCCGCGTAAAATCCGCCTTTCCGA